GACGGTCGGTTAACCGAGGTGTCGGTTAATCGGGGGTCGGATAATCGAGGCTCTATTGTAATCTTAAAAATATGGTTTGTATAGTAAAGAATAACTATGTTTTATGAAGTCTAATTAGTTTTTAAATTGTTTAAACCACCTATTCCATATTACCCTCCATTTGTGCGTTTTTTAAAATACATTTTTTTATAACAACAAAATAAATAGCATTTTTTTTACAAGTGACAGTACATTACAATTAATTATAGTATGTACTCATGATGATTTTGGGATTTTTATTCAAAAACCAGTAAAGTTATTTTTAGAAATGTAAATGGTATTCCATAATACCCTCCTCTCCTCTATATGTGAGTGGCCTATAAAGAGTTCTACCTTTTCTCCATGATTATACAGTATAATATAGCACAGTGCTACAAATAAATAAATTATTCATGGCTGTATAATATAATTGCACCGCTCTCAACCGCATTTGTGCGGACAATTACTTTTTTCAGAGTACAGTCCACGTGTTCAACATTTGTCCACTTTTATGTTTTCACAGATGCTTTCAAATTATCAATCTTTAAAAGCATCGAATAACCTTTCTTTGAATTCTGTAAAATGTTGACAAATGTACAAAAGAAATCACAATGGAAAAGAACAATCCATGAGAGACTGAACTCGTCCTTGGACTGATGAGAAAGAAGAAAAACATGATTTCGTTTAATACTTTATTTTAATACTAAAAATCTTTTCGATTTATTTGTATTTAATTTTATTTTATTTTTGAGGGAATTAGACAATTTTCTCTTAAAAGAATAGAACAGATTTTCGACTTAAATCGGATTATTTTTTTCCAAATGTTTTTAAGAGCTTGAAACCTGAAAAAATTTTGCTGAAAATTATAAGAAATGATGGATGCTCGTCATCAACTTTGTTATATGGAAATCCATATTTTAAAAGTTCTGCAACATATTTCCTTTTATTGATAATTATTGTTTTTGAGTACATATTTATATAATAGAATAATGTTAACAAACACATACAAATCTAATGGCTCTATTTTTTTGTTCATTGCGATTGACAATTAGTCAAGTGTTGTTTATATTTTAAAGTTTTTTAAACAGAAGAATGATGTTTATGAAAAATGTGTACGAGACCACATAAAACTTCTGATCCCACTTGCCGACACAACTTTCTATTTAAAAATTGCGCTTCTAGAATAACGAGTGCAAAATAAAATGTACAAAGCAGGTATGATATAATAAATTAAATTGTTAAACAAGAATCCCATCAAAATTGTCAAAACCACTACATTTCGATAACAATGCTGGCGGTCAGTTTTTTTTAGGCAAATTCAGACTTTTTGACCATGGATACAGATTTTATCAAAATTATAGGCTGAGATTTCTATAATTGTGAGCACCAAGTATATGCACCGTAACATTCTTATTCTATGAGTCAACCATTTTTGATTGAACATTTGAACAAAATATGTACTTCCCAATCCTTAAAACTCAAAATTTAGTGCACCTAAGATCAGAAAATCGGCACTGATTTCAAAGTAGGTAATAATCGTTCGAATATTAATTTCTTGAGCACTTTCCTCGTCAGAAATGGTTGATTTTTCGATTTATGTTTACTAAGATTTATTTTTACTTAGTAAAATGCATACTATCTACCACACGATCAACTTTTACTAACATTATTAATTATTGACTAAATATTGAATAAAAACTAGAATTATATTTCATTTTCTTCTAATTATAATGATAAGAAAAAAAATTCAAATAGGACATCTTTTTGGAATAGTTTTTTGCATGCGCATGGTAAGAAAATAGGAAAATTTATAGGCCTATATAAAAACCTTCAAAAATGTTCATTATGCTTTCTTATTTTGTAATAATATAGATTTATCTCAAATTTACAAATCGATAAAAATATATTCTATTATTTATATCTAAAATATCTTTCACTATTTTCGAAACTAACCAAATTTTTATATTTTATTGTGTAAATAATCTATCAAAGTATTTTGTGGCATACAATATTTTAATATACAAATAAGTATAATAATTCACTTAAAAATTCTGAAAATGTAATGAAAGAAGCGTTTCAGATAGAAATTCTCTTTCAAATTTTTTCTTAAGATTACTCTCTCTAAGAAATGAAAAAGTAAAATCGATTTCTGTGCGATCCGTTCTTAAGTTATAAATGTTTGTAGATGGCATGTCCAAATTTTATTAGGTTTTCCTATGTCGGTGTTTACTAATTACAAAGTAATCAAAGCAGAGATATATAGTGCAATGATTGCATTAAACAAATGCTTCGTTATTGTGTAAGATGTCTACTAGGATTATTTTATTAACAGGACTTATTATACCGGTGCCGGTATAATAAGTACTGTTAATAAAATAAGTCCTAGTACACATCTTACATAATAAACTGTATAATAATGACATACAAGCATATGAATTAAATGCTTCGTTATATTGAATAATTATAGAAAATATGGCCATTTGATAAAAGTATGAGTACAAGATTGATCAACAGATTGCAAATTTTTGAAATGTACGTACAAAGAAAATAACTTCAATATTTCGGGATGACTGCGGCCAATCTGAATTGTTATGACTCAATAAAACATTGCGGTAAATAGCTTTGCTGTAACCATTTTGTGATGAGCAGATACCGTCATGTGCAATCCAAATAAAACTCAATTTTGCAATCTACAAACATTTGTAACTTACAAACGAAACGTCTTTGCCCAAAAAGCCGTTTCACTTATTCACTTCTAAGTGTAAAAATGTTGTGAGGAAAATTTGAAAGAGATCCGCCATTTTTACCTAAACATCTCTCTTTTGAATTTTTTTTACTTGTCTCGGCTCGATCTACTATGTTATTTTCCTTACAATACACTTCTAATTAAATATTGGTATTGTATTATAGTATATATTATAATTATGATTTTACATTTAAGAATATTATTTTAATTAATACATATAAACAACAGGTAGTTATCTAGATTAGTTTGCAACTTAAACATCTGAAAATGTAAATACGGTCCTATGAATGAATAATTAGAAAATTCGCCATCAGAAAGAACAATGTTTAATAAGAGATTTTACCTAAAAATATTTTTAATACTTATAGATAATTGACAAAAATAATGAAATTTGTGACATAGAAAAGTAAAAAGCATAGCGCTAACGTTATTTTAATATTTCCAGATATTTTGATTTCATATTTCCATAAATTAATAAAAATACATTTCATTATGCTAAATCAATGTAGTAATTGTAGCAATTAATGTAATATGCTTTCTATTTCAAATATAATAAATACTTTTATGATGTACGTCTAATTTATTGCCTACGTAAATCAAGAAAAGCAAACTATTTCCAATTAAATACATCAATTAAAATTATATATTAACATATTGATCTCATATAAACCGAAATTCTTATCCTTTTCAATTACTACTGATTGCATAGTTGTTGCAATTAGCTATCAAACTCTATACATAATGAAACTCCTAAAAGATGAAGATCCCTTTATTTTAATAGTTATGTCAACATAACAAACATCTTTTAGTAGAAGATACACTTAATGCATTAATAGTTATATAAAACGTAAGTAAAGAGTGAGCTACTTTCAGTTATAACATACAAGACGTACTAACTTTGGTGTAACAAGCATTTTCAGAAGAGAACGTTTATCATTATATAAATTCTATTATTTCGTTATTTAAAAATATGTCAACCGTAATTTCGACTGTTAGACCCAGTTTTGTTGATTTAAACACGGAATTGTGTTTGCAATGTTTTCTGCCTTCATTTACGTCAATATCCATGATTTACGGATGGCATTTTTTTAATCCTTGCTTATGTACCGTCAAGAATAACGCTTACTTTATTAAAGTTCTGAATAAATTGTATGTTTCTTTCATTGAATGTGTTTATTGGATACATTTCATCCTCACCTTTTTTATGACAATCCCTTATTTATCAAATAAAACACCTTGCAATTCTTGGTTCTTGTTTATCGAGAATGATGTCTTTGTCAAACTGTCTGTTGCAATTTTCGCATTCTCAGCAGCTCTATTGTTTACTATTGTGAAAAGAGTTAAATTAAATTCAAAAGTAAAGTTAAAACTCTCAAATTCTTTCGAAAATAAATTTTTTTCTCTGATAAATTACGCTGAAATCATTAGTTCGATTCTGATTGTAGTTCTCACAATGTGGGTTCAAGTTATAAATGTTTTTTACTTTTACCGTGCAATAGAACAAGCAAAGATTTACAAATACGAAGCTCTTTTCTGCACTGTTGAAATCGGGATCTGGTCGATAATTCTGATTGGTGGAATGGTGATTATTGTTATTTTTCTCGTAACAATTGCAATTACTTTAATGGAATCTTTCAAGGAAGTATCAGAAGATTTGTATCAATTGAAAAAGTATAATCCGAGTTTGCAATCGGAATTGGAAGCAATTATGGCGCGACACCACGAACTTTGGGTTTTTACTAATCAACTNTTGATATAATCTAAAAAATTATAAGTTTTAAGATTATATCAATAAATTTATTTTAATAATACAGACGAAATATAATGTTTTAACACAGTTGCCTTTTATAGTTCAAAAAAGAATATTAATCGTCTATATTTATTTCATTCACAAAATTATTATTATTATTATTTGGTCGTTTTTATGTAAGCCTACCTTATGTCAATAAAAACAATATTGTAATTAATAATGATATATATATGCGCCCAATTCTTCTAAAAGATTAATTTGGTAGTAGAAAATTCATTATTAAAGAATGACATTTTAACTTATGAGGTCAGCAACTGGTTGCTTTAATGCTAAAAGCCAATACAGTGGACAACAATATTTTAAGGTTTGATCTAAAATATGTGAGCTTCACAAATTCTATATTAATCGGTAAGTGAATCACTAAGATTCTTCTGAAATTAAAGAAAACTATTCATTAATTTGACCTATAAAATTCCTAGCACTTACCTTCAATAATTAATTTAACTACGCCACTCTGTATGTAGGTAGGTGATTCTGATTTTCGATTATTCAGTTCGTGAGTAGCTGAAAACAAAATAAATTTTCATTAATAAAGGAAATATTTGCATCTCGAATTGAAAATAACCGTTTCCTACTTTAGCGTGTGGAAGATAATTAGTAATCACGTGTTTGAAGGAAGTTACTCTGATTAAATATTCTTCATTTCGCACGAAATAACTCCCATACTTTTAATTTGTTATATTTTTTTCGCTGTAAAGCACGTTTTTTTAGAAATTGCGAGTGACATGGAACATTAATTATTTCTAATTTCGGTATAGTAATATATCTTTCTTAAGCGTTTTCTAAATAAAAAAATTCTCAGACGATTTCATTTTGTTTCTTTGCTTATTTCTTAGAACAAGAAACATCCGTTTTTAAGATCTATTTTAATTATAAAGAATAAAAATTGTTTAGAATTTCTACTCTACTTGATTTCAATATAACTTCTATTATAACTTTTAATGGTAATATAAATTCAAACTTTTCCGATTGATGAACAAATCTTAAAACATGTAGCCTAAGAATTTCTTCAATGAATATCTTTTTTCTGATAAGCAATTTTTTTCGTAGATGAGGACATCTTCATATTTTAATACAAAACTGTAAGTTTTGAATGGATTTATATGTTTATCTTATTCAAATATCAAGTACATTTCTTTATGATTTACTACACTGAAACAAAATGGCGGCTCATTAACATTTTCAACTCAGTTCTGTATAGCCTTATATACATATATTCTTTTTAAAATAAACTTTACGTCAGATTAAGAACTGAAGTAATTACTTAATTATAATTACATCATAAATCTTTATTCATTTCTTTTCGTAAACTATTTAGAATATAACCAGCATTAATAATAAAATTTTTCACTAAATATTCTTAAAGTGTGAAACTCAAAAGGTTATACAATCTTATAACTATATTTTAGATATTCAGTAGCAAATTATTTCAAGTAAAAGTTAATAGTCTTAAATTTCTATGAAATGAAGAGCTATAAAAAACATTAAGAAGCATACTCGAAATATTTTTTCCAAAAAAAAAACATTTAAGATTTATGCGATTAATTAAAGCCTTTCCTATGGTATATCATATTTCTTAATTTTACAGATAAGAGAAGTCCTCTTAAGCTTGATTAAATAGGTTATTAAATGAGTTATTCATTAACGTTTTAGGATTAAAACAACACGATTCTGAATTTAACGATGAAAAATTCGGTTCAGGATAATTCATTTATACAGTCGAAATAGTTTATCAGAATAAATGAATATTTATAAATTCCTAAATATATATACGAATATGAATACATTTTTTTCTGACCGGAAACAAATACTCGAGAGAGGGAGAAATAGACGGACATGGTCTGAAATCATAATTAATTGAGCAATGGACTAAAATCGGTTGATATTAATCACCAGGTTCTTAACAAAGCGTGAATGTTGAAAACGGGAGGGGTCCTTTTCCATGACGTCACGCACTAAGCGAAACGTCGATTTAGTACAATTTAACACGTAATTCTACAAATAGGTTCTAATGAGAACAAATATAGAATTACATTTCCTATATATTTCCCCAAACACTTCTTTTTTCAAATATTACTCTTTCTTAAAAAAGAACTTTGTTATTTAAAAATCTGTATTTATGTTAACGATAAAGAATAATTTTAATTTGATAAAATTGCATTCAATGTAAAAATAAATAGCTACTAATATTTGAAAATAATATTTATAATTTAATAATATCTTTTAGGTACGTACTTCACAAAAATATTTTTTGGAGAAACTCATTTATAAATATAAAAATTAAACAATATTTAAAAAAAACTTCGAAATTAAGTAAAAAAAAAACATTTTTTAACTTGTTTCAAACTCAAAATATTTGAATATTGCTATGAATATCACTCTCATGTATAATTTACATGTTAAACGAATACACAAAATTATTTTTGACGCAAAATACTTTGTTTATGTATTCTTTTTTCATTTGTTTCATATTGAAATTCATCCTCTGGAGATTAATTAAATCAGTGCTACTCAAACTGTAGTCCGGAGACTAGTTTTACGACGAGATTTCGTAATTTTATATATTTCACTAATAATACTTTTTTATTTAAACACTTAGTGCCAGGGATGGACTGACGATCGAAATCAGCTGGAAAATTACTTGAGAACGACTCACAAAACCATTTTTTCAAAATAATTAAAACAGAATTTTGTTATTGTATTTTTCTTACTGAGCCCAAAAATTAAAATAAAAAGAAAATGATTTGAATTCCGTTCTCACTGTTTTATAACTAATTTAATTTCACAAAAGTATTGTTCGTAGAGGAATTGAAATGAAAAACAAAGCCTTGTCAGTGAGCACAAACTTTCAGATGCTCTAGGTTAAATCACATAACATTATTATAAATATTTTAAATGATTTTCTTTACTTCCCTTTTTAAAAATCATAATTTAATGGATTACACTTTTTAAAATAATTTATGTTTCTACAATAATGAAATCACACTTATCAATGTAATGGGACACTTTTAAACAATTACAAATAAGGTTATATAAGACAAAAATGACAAAGTTATTATTTGTAATAATTTAAATAAAAATTTAATGAAATGATCGTTAAACAAATTAGATTCTGCTTTAAATTAAAACGAATAAAACAGATCATTTTATATAATTAAATCTCGATAAATCGTTTAGATTTATAATAAACTTTTAAAAATCTATTTAAGAAATCGGAAAATATACATTTATTTATTGTTTAAATTTTAATCTGAAATTATAAATTTCGTATAAATTATCAGAATTTATAAATATACAAGATGTTTAAAAAAATGTCAGTAATAATATGGAAATAAATTGTGCCGGATCTGTAGTGTTCTCTGCGCAGTTCTCCGTCATGTGCAAGAAATCACGACTCATTTTTGAAGTTCTCAAAAAGTATGATCCTATACTTATGCTGCAGTAACTGAGCACATTCTCTATAAAGTGTGTTAACATTTTTTGAAACAATAAAGCAAATTTTCATTGAAATAATGTACAGTACGTTCTTCCATTTCTTCTATTATGTTTATACTTCAATAAAAACAAATTTTGAAACATTTTTTTTATAATAAAAATGAATAATCAATAAATTGATTAAATTGAATTCTTAATTGACTATTTATTGCATTATACTTATTTTTATCAAATTGTCTGAATTTATTCTAAGATAAATTTTATTTATTTGCTTTTAATAATACAAACAATATTTTATTTTACAAAATGCTACTTCGAATAATATTTAATTAGAGATAAATATGAATTTATAAAATTATTATCAATAGTTTTTCATAAATAATAAAAAAAAAGTGTTGAACATTTAGTGACTTTTTAAAAACGGCGAAATATGAACCAAATAGAAATTGTAAATACGGTTAAGAAATTCGTAATCGTTCTATCAAATAAGGGAAAGATGGAACTGACATCTAAATCTAATATAACACTGATAATTGTTTATCGTAAGTTAGAATACCTATTTATAAATTGGGAACTGCAGGAATGGAAACTTTGATTTAATTAACAACTCGTCTTGGATAAAGATTTAAAAGTGATAAACGTTTTCATTTTATTTTATCAAATAAAATACTGCTTTTAATACAATAAAATATAAGTAAAATGTTTATATTTCAAAATTACTAATATCTGTAAATTAAATATTATTTTTTGAAATAAAAATAAAACAAATATTTTAAATGTTAATTACTGTATTTATTGAATTGTAAAAGAGTTATCATGTAAAATGATGTTACATTATTTAATAAATAATATTAATATTTTAAGTGTTAATTCTTTGTTTATTTATTAGTACCGTGTAAGTATCCCTTTTGTACGACATTATGTAAATATTTTTGGTATAATAATAATATATTTTTTGTATTGTATTAGTAATTTTTAGAATTATTTCAGTTATAATATTGGAGATCACATACTACTGGAGAGGGAAAACAGAATTTTAAAAGTTTTTAAACCAATCATAGAAAAAATTACAGTAAAGGCCAATGAATTGAAATAAATAGATTATGTTTTATACTAAAATAATGTCCAAATTTGATTATAAGAATAAGAATTTTAATTTTCGTAAGAATAATCTTACGAAAATTAAAATATAGGCCTATAAGAAATTCTTTTACTAAAATGTAAAAAGTAAAAGCAAGTTCATTTAACTTTTATTATATCTTCAATTATGTTTATCAATTATTCTAAATTTAAACTCATTTTATAACTTTAAAATATTCAATAATCATTTACTGCATGATCGATATTTTTATAAATTAAAAAAGAATAAATAGATAATTGTGTAATCATAAAACAGGAATATATACATCCTGTATATGAACCTATTAAAATCTTCGAAAATCTTTAGTAAAATTTTGTAAGGTGGAAAAATTAAATGAAATTCGTTATTATTCAAAAACATAATGATAAGAAAAAGAATACAAGTATCCCTTGCTTAACGCGCGAAATTAATTGCGGCAATCCCTTTATATACAAGGTAGAAGTTTTAATTTACTCGGCTTTACCAGTTGTCTTTATTTCACATAGATACCGTATTTTGATGAACGCTATTTTGATATAGCCTACGTGGTAGCATCGAGGGATTAATTAATCGCGTTAATCAAGGGATACCTGTATATAGATATAAATTTTAACTTTGACATTTTTATGGATATATAGGCTACATAAAGTTTTAAAGTCCAAGTTATCTTTCATAGAGAAAAACCCATTAACAAACCAATAGCGATTTCAGAAAGTACTTGAAACCTAAACTGAAATAAAATATCTAGCAATTACACCCACGACGTTATCATTAAGAATCGAGATCGCAATTTAAAAGATAGATTAAAAAAAGCCACAAAATTAATCTAGAATGACATCTTTCTATATCGGTCTTTAATCTTATCTACAACAAAAGATCTATAGAAACTCCACCTTTCAACCAAAATGGCGATTTTATTTCTCCAATATAGAAATTTACCATTGTTTAC